AAACATCTCGTACAATTTATTCTCGTAATACTACGACTTTATTCTAAAAATGTTATGGCTTTTCATAATTTTTTCTTAGCGTGGCCCTAAAGCTCTGTCGTATATTGGAAATGACATACTGGTGTGAAATAACATTAAATTCACTAATACTAAACTTAAAAACTTTTGAACGACACCGTTTTTACTTTGTTGTTGTTTTTGGTTGTGAAAACTGCAGCAAACAGCCGTTTCATGCAACAGTGTTGGTTTAATACTAACTAACGAAGCATTCTTTCACACTGGTATGTCGTTTTTTAGAAAAACTTGTAACCATTCCTTTTTTAACTTGTTTTTCTGGCAGGGTTGCACCAGAGCTGATGGACTGTGATGGTGTGAGAAGTGGGGTACACCTTGCACAAGTTGCTTGTCCATCAGAGGGCCACATAAAGATAAATGAGTCTGACATCTATTCACACTCTTACACACGCCTAAACACAATTTAGTTACCTATTTATCTAGCATGCATGTTTTCGTTCTGTGGGAGGAAACTGGAGCACCCAGAGAAACCACACAACCCACTGGAGAACATGAAACTGTACACAAAAAGCCCCAAGCGAGAGGCAAACCTGTGACCTTCTTGCTGTGAGGCGATAGCTCTAACCACTTATCCACCATGCAACTTAAAATTGTTTTATAAGCCTGTAAAACAAGAGAATGAGCAATATTTACCCTTTTCTTCACATTCCATGATCTACAACTGATGTTACAGTTTATAAAACAGTAACATAACTATTTGACAGAAGATCACGTCAAAAATGATCAGACTGTCCCTTTAAAAGTCATATAAATGATCTAACCTAATATTTCCTCACAGCATCATGAACTGATTTAAACCACAGAATAAATATTTGTAAATATCAGCCACTTCAAATGAGCTCATACATTTAAGCTTTAATTTGTTTGATTGTTAGTGAGCCAATTCTAGCTATTCTTAATCCAAAAACAAGATTCTCTCTTGTTATCATCTAGAAATAAATATTAGATTTACAGTTTGGCTTCCTGTAATAATACTACAGTACTCAGTACTAAATTATTCAGGCCCAGTCTTAAATACATAGAGCAGGTAAAAGGGGCCATAGTGTCAATCAGAACAAACACATCTAGCTTTAGTGAGATCAAATACATTTAATATGGAAAAGCCAAATAATGTTTACCTGCTATAAAAAAAAAGGCTGTGTTTGCTGGAAAGAAAAATCCTAGGCACTGGGCTGCGTCTGTCCTGTGGTCTGGATTATATTATGTCTGTATCACATTATGAAGGTTGTTCCTGCAGGAGAACGGACTGCTCAGCTTCGGCTTTGATTGATTCCTTTCTCTGAAATGTTTATAAATGATGTAAAATAAGACTCGCGTTAGTTTTCTCTTGTTTATAAAATCTCAAACGGCGAGCCACTGTGTTCATGTTAGGTGTTTTTATTTAAATAGATTCTATTTGATCAAACCAAGTATCTGTTCTATTTTATACAAAGGCTCAGATTGTACAGTGATGCTCAAATACTGGACCTTCTGCACCTTAACATGCCTTAATGCTGCAGCAGCACTGTTGTGAGCTGTTGCTGCTGAATTAATGCACTTTTGGTTTTTGGTTTTTGTGAATTTGACCTTAGTTGTGATTTTTACCGTGACATTAAATTTTTTTATTGTTTTTATTCTAAATAAGTTGCACGGTTGTTCTGTTGTGTCTTTTGTTCCCCTGTAACAAGCCCTGGAAATCTGATTTGTTCTTTTCATGAGGTTTGAATGACAATTAATAAATCTTAATCTCAACCTGTATATTTTGTCTTTTGTGAAATGCATCAAACTGGTGTTTGCTCTAAACTTTTAGGGACATAATATGAGTGAAGAGAAATCACAGCGTTGCCAGGACCAGAGAAAACAAGAGAGACACTTGAGAGGTGAGTGGGCTGTAGACGTACTTTTCATGCTTTCTTTGACAGCTGGAACAAAATTGTGTATTCTTTGACATCTTTTAAATTTCCTGCTTGTTTGATATATGAGCTGAACTTAAAATGGGTAGACAAGCCTGAAAAAGAAAAAAAAAAAACTTTATTTCGTAGAGCTCCAAGTGATAATGAGCCAAAGATCAACTGTGTTTTCACAGCTTAAATATTTATCAACCACCACCAAATGTCACTGGATGAGGTTTTTGTTTGTCTTTGTGCGTGTGTTTATAGTTTTATCAACATGTATCATGAATACGGAAGAGGATTAGGGCCACGGTGCAAATGATTTTTTCCCCTAATTTTGAGAAGAAAAAAAATTGAATTCTGAAATTAAAGTCAGATTTCTGAGATCTGAGTTTTTTTTTCTCAGAATTCTGACTTTAATTTCAGAATTTTGACTTTAATCTCAGAATTCTGTGTTCTGACCTTTTTTTCTCCCTCAAATTCTGACTTTAATCTCAAAATTCTGATTTAATCTCAGAATTCTGAGAAAAAAAGTTAGAATTCTAAGGTTAAAGTCAGAATTTTGACAAAAAACTCAGAATTAGATAGATGGATGTGACTTTTTTCCCCTCAAATTCCAATTTTAATCTCAGAATTCTGAGAAAGACAGAATTCTGAGATTAAAGTCAGAATTAGATGGATCTGACTTTTTTCTCAAATTCTGATTTTAATCTCAGAATTGTGACTTTTTTTTCTTCTCAGAATTAAGGACTTTTTTTTTAATTGCACTGATGCCCTAATCCTCTTCAGTATCTTCCGTACATGAACCACTGAACAGATTATATGAACTTTTCAGAACGTGATGACTGGGTCTACATCTACAAAGTACAACTGATTAAACTGACACTGCTCAAAAATCGTATGCATTAGTGGTTGAAAGTCATCTTCATCATATACTATGAATGCCAAAAAAACTTACAAGATCACACAAAATCATTTGAAATCATGCACAACATAATGTACTATGTTTACCCTAAAAGCCACCATTGCTTTTCATAATTAGATTATTTTTGGTTTAAACTGTAGCATAAAAGGCTGTAGGTGATATGGATTCCTTCATGGAATGCTAGGCTTCTAATTTTAATAGAAATCATGTATTATATTTTTAATCCGTTTATATTCATCTCTACTATCTGAAGTCCATAGTCTTTTGAAAATTGCTGCAATTTTTTCTCTTGCCCTCTTGTACATTAAACAGCTGCAGTGAGCAATAACATTAGGCGCAGAGTTTAATTTCACATTTGTGATTCATAACAGAAAATCAGGTGGCACCCTGAGAGCGCCTGCTTCTTTGGCTTGCGTTTATGTGGCCCAACTCTACAATCAATGTCCTGCCCAAAGACATAAATGTTTCAGCAAAAATAATGTTTGTGGGAAAAAAAAATCAACATTCATTCACTCCGGGGGAAAATGATGTAAGCATAAACTTTGAAATGTACATTTGTCATCTGTAAAACGCACCAACAAACATGCGTCGGCTTTCTCTCCAGACACGTCAAAGTTTATGAATCAAAAGGAAAAGCTGTATATCACGAGTAACATAATATTCCAATGTTAACTTTCTAATCAGAGTTAAAATGATTCATTCTGCCTCATTTGGTGTGCTTATACGCTCCTCCGGTTTTTATTACAGATGAATATATTTGGTTTAACCTCAAATTAATCAAATTGTGCAACGACTGTTGATTTTTAAGAAGCTGAAGACAACTTCTCTTGTTTAAAATGTGAAACCTGCCAACTGGAGATCCCAATTCAAAGGCAACAAATTTGCCCATGTGGAACAATGTCTAGTCAGCAGGGGAACGGTTTTAGAAAGCAGGCTGACATCTTGACAACTGTGTTTTAATAACGAGCATTATGCAGCGGAATCACACCTGATACAACTCCAGTGAGTTCACACACTGAAATTTTTACATCATACACTAATTTTACATTCTAGTATGGAGTTGCAGGTACAGAGTGAGGGAGAAAATGTTTTTTTTTTTTTTTACTTGAACTTGATTTTGATATCAACTTAGAAAGCACGCTGAACGTGATTTAAATGGATACTAGAGCTCATATGTCCCCGAACAAACCTGTCTTAGTTATTAAAAATAATTTAAAAAATAGGCATTACTGTTTGAATAGGGATGGATACTTCCCATAAGCTTGTCATGCATGCTAACACACACACATACGTACACACCTTGTAATAAACTTGTATGCACGCAGTAAACACAAGACATTCAAGCACAGATTATGGCTTTCAAAGATGGAGCTCGTTTAATCTTGTCACTTTATACATTTGTGATTCAACTTTAATAGACAAATATAAATGCAGATAATGATGACCTTCCATTGGTTCTGTTACTGAGCAACCTTAGCATACAATACGTCCTTTCAAGGTAGATATCATTGAGTTACATTAAAGAAAAGTGTTTATATACATGGAGACTGGATTATACACATGTGCAGGTGGACATATGGCGAACACCCACAGTCAACAACAATATCTTAAATGACCGAGCAGAGGTTGACATTACATTTCTCCAGCTTTAGTTTTTTTTTTTTTCCATCTGCCTAAAGAGTATGTTGTAGCAACCAAATGAAAGATCTGTACTGCAGATTGATTATGGTCATAGATACTAAATCAACACTTAGAACACCGAGTAGGCTTTACAGTCTTTAGACTTTACACTAGTGCTGAAAAGACAGAATGTAATCATCCTCCATCCACACCCATACATTTGTGGTCTGTTCACCCAAGAGAAGATTAAACCCAGACCCATTTCAAGACAAAAGAAAAAAAAAACTTTCTTTTTTGCTCCACACTTTGTAACATTTACCACATGCTCCTTCTTTTTCATTCTGCAAAATCTTTTTTTTTTTATATATCAGTCTGTCATCTTTTAATATTGTTCATTAATTCCCTTCCACTTTGAGTGAGATACGTCTTTGCAGCCGTTTAGTCCTCCAGGTTTGAGCATCTCAGTCAGAGGAAGATTTGCTCAGAGAACCTCCTGGCCTTTTTTTTTCTGGCAAGAGATCCTCAGTAAAGCCTGGTTCTCCATAATGACGGCAGACAGATCACATGAACAACATAGTCACAGTTGTGAAATTTCAAAATGCTCCTCGTCTCCCTTTTGTTCTCCCCCTCGTCACAAATGTCATTTATGTCAACTGACAACAGAGATTTGACCTTCTTTATACGAGGCTCAGAAATGACACCTTCTGCATTTGGGATCGGCTTGTGGATGCATGACCTCTTTTTTTTTTCCTCCTCCTGGCACTTCTACAAGACATGCTGAACCAGGATCAGAGCCAAAGCTGGGCTGGGAAGCAGAGCCAAGACGTTGGCACACAGATAGAGAGAGCAAGCTTCTCCCCGGGCCAGGCCACCACTGCTTTGTTCAACATTCTGGGCAGATAGAAAGACAAACAGGAGGACAGATGTACAAAGGTTAGACATGACTCAGACACTTGAGCTGTATTTCTATTTTTATTTATTTTTTTGTTCTGTCCTGGCATTTGATAATGGATTGAAGGAGATAGAAGAGAGGTGAAACAAGACAGGGTCAGCGCTGAGGAGAGGAAGAGAAAACACAAACAAGAGAGTCAGACGTGTGCGTGGAAGATTCTTGTTGGCATGAAAATTAGGCGTTTGATCAACCAAATGTTTTAATATGTGAAGTATATTTCAAGCCTCCTCTGCTTAGTATGCTGCTTGCTTTTTAAACAAGTTGGCAACGAAGAAAAGCTTCTTGTAAGTATGATTTTTTTTTCCTTTTCTTAAACCCTTTTAAGTTGTGCCAGCAAGTTTTTTGAACAGTTTTTAAAGCTATACTTACAGACTTTATTTACAAGAAAAACATGGTGCAATGCCAAACTTACATTACAGAAGCCAGCGGCAGCTCAGGATATTTTTTATTTTTTTCAATCGTTCATAAGGCACGTCTCACAGAAAAAAATGGGATAAAAAAGCAATCCCAACACCATATTGTTTGACTGTGTGTAATCAAAACACTGCAGTCCTGTTTTTATGTACAGGAGAAAGTAACTTTATGTACAGTTGGCAAAACGGGCATGCGGTTTAGCACATTAGGGAAGTGAGGGAGGCTGGAATCAGACCAAATATTAAATTTGGTGGCCTCTAGAGTTCCACTTTTATCTCCCCACCACAACAAGCTTCATTATGTGCCGTTTCATAAAGTCGTTAGCGTTCTGAGTACTTTTCCAATTTGCTCAAATTCTTGTTATATCAAGCGAAACCATTTGTCTTCAAGTTAAAGAAGTCCTGCTCAAACTGAAGAGGCATCATTTTCAGTCCGGCAGAGCATTACACAGGCACATCATAGGGAACATGAAACATTTTCTTTTCCTCCTCCTCCTCTTTTCACCCCCACCTCATCTTCACCAGAGCAACCTTTGCAAAGATTACATTGGTCCATTTCCCTGTACATAGGAGGAAAAAAACCAGATCAGCTACTTGGATGTTATCTACCAGCGCCTCATCTTCCACCAGAACAAGGTAACTTATAAATGAGAAAATAAATAATGATGCAGGGAAATATTGTTGAATAATTCTTACAGGGAAGATGCATTTTTCCTGTAAAGAAGGGGGAGGGGTTGTAGCGTGAAAGAGAAAAAGGAAAAGAGCTGCTTTTATTTCAGCACCTTGGCTTATGCATTCACTCCTCTCTAGGAAATGATTAAAACCATAAAATGGGGACTACTGTCTAACACAGGTTATTTATAGATGACCAATCCTTTGCAAAACAATCAGAATTTTGACGCATTAACTAAAATGATACGTTTTTAATAAATCATAAAGGAGCTGCAAAAATCATCACATAAATAATCACAAATGGCTTACAACTCCATGTTATTACAAAATGTTATGAAAAAGGGGGGAGGGGCAAGTGTAAGGACAGCTTGACAATGCACCAAACACATCCACAACTAAAAGCCAATTAATTAGCAAGGGCAGTGATGTGTGGCAGCAGCCTGTTGACATGAGTCCAGATCTCTGGCTGCAGCCAATATCCACACATCCACACAGGCTTGTGGGAAGGTACGCACACTCATAAACGGGTGACTGAAGCACAAACGCATGCAAAACAGCGTGACAGGGCACAGCCAGTGTCAAACCGTCCACACACCCACAGAGAGAGAGAAGAAGAGAAAACGAGAGCGAACAATCACATGGCCATCCTTTAATCTGCGCAGGATACATCCGACTTTTCATTGAACGAACTCCTGTTGAGATCAATTTTTATCGTCAGTTAGAACACTGTCAAGTTTACAGTAAACAGGGCTGCATTTCCCAAGGCGAGTTATCGAGTAATCAGGTTATGTAGTTTCTGTCCACAGTCAGTTCCATTCAGCTGAGCTGAAAATGAACAGAGAGAGTTACACTGAAACAAAGGCAATACAAGCATGCAGTCCTGAAAACCAAATCATAAGGTAATTTATATATACTGTATATATACATTTGTGTGTGTAATTGCTTTTTGATATCCATAGCTCTTCTGCATTAAATATCTTAAAAACACAACACATAAGTAAACATTTGCTCTCGGTGTACACAATAAAGGAAATGTTATGGCCAAACTGGTCTCACTCTGATTAATTTTCCTCTTGCTGTTAGGCACTTGACTGCAGTCCAGTGTGTTGACATATTTGGACAGTGTACAGCACACTTGTGTGCAAAACAAAGATTTGAGCTTTGAGCGTAACATTTTTAATGCTACATTTTTACAAAACCAACTTCAAATTACTATCCTAAAATTCTAACCTTAACAAAGTGGGTGGTTGCCCAACACTGCACAACTGGTAAGTGAGAATAAAGTAAATACAAGACGAAAGTGTGTTTCTGAGGCATAAACTGTACTGTTATTGGAACTCAACAGACATCTCCCAGATAAAAAGAGAAGTCTGAACATATTTTCTGATTAATACATCCTGGGCTTGTGCCAGTGCAGTTTCAAAAGACAGAAAAAGACTACACAAGAAATGAGGCAATTGTGTATTGAGTACTTGGGCTTTATGCAAACTTAACATGACAGCGTTTTAATCTGGTGACTGGTTGGATGCAGATCAGAAGTGGAAGGGTGTTAAACAGAAGTGTATCACTGACACTATGAGATCAGTCTTATTGTTGTAATACTAATCAGGCCACGGCTAATGGATCACTTACATATCACAGTTTACTTCTGAGGTAATGATTTGGTTTCATTTAAAATCATTTACACGTGAATTTTAAAGGTCAAGTGTTTGTCTCTGCTACAAAAGACTCAAAGCAATTGGACCATGAAACAGAGCTCCAATGAAAATGGGACTAGAGAAAATTAAAATGAACTTGTTTGTGTATAGAAAATTACATGCACTGTTCTGTTCAACTCAGTTTTTTTTTATACAATACCAACTGACAACAAAGGTCATTCAACGGCAGTATATTACAAAAATACCAAGTTCAAAAATAGTTCAAATCAAATCCAGATTCAAATCTAATTACAATTAATTTAATCAAATTAAATGTAAGTTCAGTACATGTACATACATTATGAATAGCCAATTAGTGAAAAGTTGTCAGGCAAAGTGAGGAAACTGCATTGAATCGTCACTGCGGAGCAAGATGGTGACAGTGAAAAGGAATGACTCCCTTGTGGCAGGAATAAACCTTCAGCATAAATTAGTTCAGGAGGACTACCTATCTACATATAGTGACAGTAGATACAGACATGAAACATAAAGACATCAGAGTGAAAAATGTGGTCTGTATGTCCTCCAGTAGTTTAAAACCTATGGCAAGATAACTAAGTGACAGCTGAGAAAAGCTGAACCTTCACCAACTATAGAATTTCACAAAAAGGAAATTTTAATTCTGGCCTTAGAAAATGGAGAGCTTGTCAACTTCTCCATTTTGTTCTCCATCTTCTACCACTTATCTGTAGTTAGGTCGTAGAGGTAACAGGTCCAGGACCGAAACATCACTCTCCCCAGCAACACTTTTCATCTTGTCCTGGAGGACCCCAAGAAAATACACAATTCCTCCAGCAACTTCTGGGTCTTCCCCAAGGCCTCTTACAAGCGGGACATGCCTGACATACCTCTAAATGGAGGAATCCAGTAGGCATCTTAATCAGATGCCCAAATCAACTCATCTGCACTCTTTGATGCAGTGAAACAGCAGCTCTACTCTGAGCTTACTCCAGATGACTGCGCTCCTCACCCTATCTCTAAGGATGAGCGTGGCCACACTGTGAGGGAAGCCCATTCCGGTCTTGTATTCAGGATCCCATTCTTTGATCTCATTCTTTGATCATGATCTAATCCTCATGACCAAAGGTGAGGATTGAAACATAGACAGACATAAATTGACAGCTTTGCCTTTTGAATCAGCTCTTTTTTCACCATGACAGAACAAAGCAATAACCCTGATTACTGAGGATCAGGAACCAATCCATCGATCCATCTCCCACTCCATCATACTGTGACAAGGCATGTGAACAAGATGTCCAGATACTTGAACTCCTCCATTGGAGGCCAAGTCTCACTCTCCAGTTCCCCTTTATAAAAATGGGAACCACTTTTCTGTCACTCCACAGGCATTGTCCCAGTCTTCCATGCAACATTGAAGAGATGTGTCAAGCATGATAGCCTCATAACATCCAGAGCCTGTAGCATCCTAAGGCAAATCTCATCTGGCCCCTGTCACTGAGAAGCTTTTTGACTATCTCGATGACCTCTGGTATTAGACTTGTCTTATCCCAAGTCATCAGACTCTGCCTCCTCATAGGTGGACATGCTGGGTAGATTAAGGATATCCTTGAAGTGCTCCTTCCATCGCTCAGCAATATCCTCAGTCCAGCTCAGCAGTCCCCCACCCAAACCAAGCACAGCCTGGAAAGAGGCCCACATTCCTTTCCTGATTCACTGAAATGTTTGCCAGAACCTCCTTGAGGCCAACTGAAAGTTCTTCTCTAAGACCTCACAGAATTCCCCCAAGCCTAAGTTTTTGCATTTGCAACCACTGAAGCTGCAGTCCTTCTGGCCATCCTGTACTTGTCTGATGCTTCAGGAGTCCTCCAGGATAGCCAAGTCCCAAAGGCTTCTTTCTTCAGCTTTATGGTCTCTATCACTACTGGTGTCTACCAGCGGGTCCTTTGTTTGTCACTGTGACAGGCACCAATGACTGTCCCCGGAAGCCACATCTGCAATTGAGGTCCTGAACATGACCCATTCGGATTCCATGTCTCTGACCTCCCCCTGGACATGTGAAAAACTCACCTGGAGGTGTGAGTTGAAGGTTGCACAGACAAGAAAATCCACCAAATATTCCCAATTTATGATCACTATGCATTTGGATTTACCAGGTCTGTTCAGTAGCCCCGCTCCTCACCACTGGATCCAAATCACCACCAGATGTTGATCAGTTGACAGCTCTACCAGTCTCTTCACCCTAGTGTTCAAGACATAGGGCCAGATGTCTGACGACATGATCACAAAATCAATCATTGACCTTTGGCCTAAGGAGGCCTATGACCAAGTACACTTATGCACCACCCTATTCCCAAACAGGGTGTTCTTTATGGCCATTCCATGTCTAGCACAAAACTCCAATAAACGAACACCATTCATTTACATATCAGGAAGGCTATTCCTCCTAATTACTCCCTTCCAAACTACTCTGTCATTGCCCACATGGGCATTGAAATCACCCAGTAAAATGTGGGGATCCACAGATGGCACCCCTTCCAGGACACCATCCTGAGACTCCAGAAAAATTAGGTAATCTAAACGGATGTTTTATGCAAAAGCACAAACAACAGTCAGAACCTTCCCTCCTGCAACCCAAAGACAGAGAGAGGCAGCCGTCTTGTACAGCGGGGAAAATTCTAACAGCGAGGCATTCAGCCGGGGATTTGTGAGTATCCCCACACCTGCCCGATGCCTCTCTCCCATGGCAACTCAGTAGTAGGAGAGAGTCCAGCCTTTCTCCAGGACTTGGGTTCTATAGCCCAAGCTGTGCATAGAGGTGAGCCCAACAATAGCTAGTTAGTACTGTGTAACATCACACACAAGCTCCGGCTCCTTACCCACCAGTGAGGTAACATTTCAAGTTCCTAGAGCTAGTCTATGCCACCAAGTATCAATGTGGTCAGCAATCCTCTCTTGCCTGCCTCCCAGCATCTGGAGCACTCGACCTTGATGGACCTCCTTGCAGGTGGTGGGCCCAGTTGGCGGTGGCTGCCTGTCATTTCTTCAAGCTTGGCCTGGCCAAGCCCCGGGAGACGAGGCTCAACGAGCTTGTCAACGTCACTTCAGTACTTGTACTTACTGTACACTTCAACAACTGGAAGTTAGTTCCACCTGAGATTAGCCTGAAAATTGAGAGGTCTGCCTCCAATTGTAATTTTAGAAACTATAGGGACCACACACAAACCTGCAGCATGAGAGCAAAATGCCTTGTTAGTAAAATATGGAACAATAACATTTGTATAATAAGATAGTGCTTGGTTGTTGAGAGCTTTGCATGTGAGAAGTAACAGTTTAAATTATTCTGTGAATCTTACAAGGAGTCATTGGCCAAACACTATAGCTGGTTCAAATACAATAAAACAATAAACACACAAAACACATTTAAAAGTCACTTGGAACTTTAAAGTAAATGCAGGAAATGGGGGTTTTCAAATGCAATGAAGATCAACTGAACTTAATCTGGAAGCATGTTTAAAATAGACAAAGCTTCAGCCCACATGTTTACTCTTTAAGTATGCCAAAGCCCACAACAACTGACACACTGAATAAATATGCATGTAAATTGACTGAACAATATTGTACAGCATATAAAGGAGCAGCATGACTGACACAATCAGTCCCAGGCTGCAGATTATCCCATACTCTGTAAATATGATAGTGTCTATCCATCCATCACACACCTTCTCTTTTTTACTCATATAGCTTGTGCTCATGTGTACACTCCCTCCCCCCACGCACACAGCATGTGTTCATAAGTTTCTATGAAATTTATAGGTCTGGTCAATCTTTTTTTTCAGCCAACAGGACTCATACCATAACAACACTCCCCCAATTTATCTGCCATGGAAGTTTGACAAGTTTTAATTGCCAACCATAGTTGTCTGAGAATACAGGGCCGCCCAAAATGTCCCTACTAGCTCCCTCTCTAATTATAAACTTCCTGCTTGAGTAATCACATGTCTTATTGTTTCCTAATTACCATTTTTACAATAAATTAAACACCATGCTGCAGTGAGACAGGCACCGAGCAGTGCATCAATACTGACACAAACACACACACACTAACGCACATCATCCATTCTCGCTGTGCCATCCTTTTCAGCTCACTGTCTTCGGTACCTTTCCTAAACATCCACACCGTTATTGTTATCAAAAGTGCTTGTCCATTAATTTTCCTCTTTGCTACATTTTTAAAGGTTTTAATTTGCTGTCGTACCAACAATGAAGGTTTCGGTGTAAAGCACAACAATGAATGCCTCCGGGTGAAGTGTGACCATTTAATGACTGTGATTTGATACGTCTTAATGAGAGTCATTCATTCATAAACATTGCTCATTGCTTTGGATTGGAATCTGTAATAGTTGCTGAACAATGACATGAACAATAACAACAGCAGCTGAATATTTCACAAAAGTCCTCTAATTCAGCCAAACTAGGTGAGTGGGTCTCCTGCAAAAGGTGAAACATACCATTAGTCATGCGTTTGACGGCTGCGCTACACATCAAAACCACATCTGTAAAATAGAACAATATTTCATTGTGAGGACTAATCAATCTTGACAGCAAACTCTTCTTGGCCTAAAAGTGAAAGGTGAAATATTTCTTTACTGTTCAGCAGAGACAGAGTGAGAGCGGGGGAGTCTGCAGCAAACGGGGTGGTTGCTGTCATCCTAACATTTATTTAAGGAGAAAATGAAGTGCAGTTCCATTAAAAGACAAACACTGATGCATTTGTACTACAAGCAACTTTCTTTTCCTTTCTGCTATAGACAGTGAACCCAGTTTTAGTCGTGTTGAAGCACTGTTCAAAGTAGACAGCATTCAGCAGAGAACAAGCCGAGGGCCAGTATTTTATAAACCCTAATCCAGATTAAACACCCCCCCCCCCCCCCCCACCCATTTCTTTCACTCTTCTATTGTCTGGGAGGGAAATATGATATTTCAACCACATGTCATCATCTCGGGTGAAGCATGAACTGTTTTATCGAGAAACGTTTGTTTTGATATGTTAATTTCTTTGGTGAGAATGAAGATAGAAAGTGATATGAACAGTGCCGCTTGTTGAGCTTTGGAATTTTGCATCAGCACCAAATCCCCCCCATTTAAAGACTCAGAAAAGAGGGGAGGTTTTATGTTTCTTCCTGCAATGAGCCCAATTTTGGCATACTTAGGCATATGGAAGTTGGAAGATGTAACAAGAACAATAGAACTGTATAACATTCTGGTTGAATTCTAGACAACAATCAACAAATTTAACAACAAACTGCATATAAATTGGACATTTTTAAAACACTGTATTAATTATAAAAGATTACCTTTGGGAAAGTGACAGAGGGATATGTGAAGCTCTCCGTACAATCAGGAGACGTTGCCAAAGCATTTGGGACAGTTGCATTTTTGCCTGGTATGATGTCTACCCCATAAGCAAAAGCCTGAATAGCATTTCCTGCAAGGACAGAGAATAAAGTCATTTATATTTGACTTGCACCTCTGCAAGAAGCCAGCTAGCAGACAGACAGCTCTAAGTCATCATCTTGGTTCCCTGCCCAGTCTTCTCCAACCGTGGGAATAAGGCAGGGCAGAAGAACAGATTAAAGAAGGGAAAGGTAAAAAAAAATAGCAGCGAGCCAATTTTTTAGATTGAGATTTTCATGCCAAACTCACGACAAACAAATTAGAAATGTGCTTGTCAAATCTGTCAGTAGGAAGACCACTTTGGATTTTATCGTTGAACAAAATGCCAATATCTCCTCATGTTTAATGAAGTAAAACACACTATTTTTTTCTCCACTGCCTTACATGTTTATCTTGTCAATTTAACAAGTAATTAGCTTCCATTAGAGAGGCCTGCAGAGAAAAATAGAGACATTTATCAAATACAAACAACTCTGGCTCATGGTCTCACCTCATTACAAAAATGTTTTTACGTAACAATAGCTGCTCTGAAAATCACAACAAGCCCACCAAAAAATGTCAAAATGTCCACATTTAAGATGATGGATCTTTTTTTTTTCTGTTTGGCCTCATAAAATTAAAATAAACTCCACTGGATGGTAGCAAATCACCCAGTTTATACAGAAAACGACAGTCTGTAAACTTGTGTGAGTGGTAGCATATCTGCGCTAACAGATTTACTGCAAGCATGGGTGTAATTCTCTGAGTGTATGTGCAAGTCTGCAAAAATGTGATAAATCCATATTTAGCCTGCTTTTCAGCTAGATGTTGTAACACAGGAGCTGAGTACCTTTTCATGGCTCATCCGTTTAAAACACAAAGCTTGCTTCTCTTTGTTCAGGCAGAGCGAAGGCAAGACATGTAATTGCTTGCAACCACCTTCATTATAAGGTCAGCGTGCAGAGATGGCCGTGAATAGATTTATGTGACTGATCAAATTCAAAACATTCCAAAACAAAGGAGAAATGGCATTTACCCACCACCATACAGGGACAGACTGGATAGTGGAGGAATGTACATGAATAATCCAATGGTCACACAGGTCTTACACTCCTCATGCTTGCTCTCATCTGCCACATTTTCTGCCCACCTACACAGTCTATTATATATAAAGCAGAGCAAAACACTAAAAAGGTAAACACATGAACGCCCATGAATAACTCATCCAAAAGCATGCAGATTTTCCTCGAGCTTTTAGAATATTTGAGCTCATTGGTGAAGCCTTAAAACTTTACTGCTGGCAGTGAAAAGCTGGTTGAGAACTGCTGAGACGTGTGATGTTACACATCTGTTTGTCGGGGTCAGCTAAAGCTAGCTGTCCCCCTACAGATTCTTTAAGATGGGGAATCAAGCCATAAATCAAACTAGTTGGCTGGATGCCCGCCCCTCCCTCCTCGCATCCAAGATGCTTTACTGCACCATGTTACACCCAGTGATTAAGCTTGTTGCCAATAGCAGCTCAATTTTTTAATGATTCTGGGCAAGAGTTTTTACCCATGGCCTACCTGCATGCTCAGGCTAAGTAGTGAGAACATCAAGAAGAGATGCCAAAGGAGGAGGGAATCGGATTTGGAGAACTGAAATTTCAGTAGCTTGCTCGATTGTACCTTTTTAAAGTTTATTTAAGTAAATAAGTAAGTAAGTAAACATTATTATTTGTAGCACTTATCACAATAAAATGCGTAATACACATGTCAGCTATTGGTACAAGCTCCTGCTTTAAAGAAGAAACTTTTGACCCCATTTTAAAGTAGCTACAAGTGTAGTGGACCTGAGATCGAAGAGGTTTGTGTAAAATTAGAACCCTAATAGAAAAGACTCAATCGTAAAATTACTGAGGTACAGCTTGGGTACTACCTGTGACAATGTCAGTGCAATGTCTCAAGTTCATTTAATTGACTGAATGTGAGCAATCAAACTCTAAAAGCAATACAAAATGTAACAGGAAATCAGTGCAAAGAGGTTAAAACAGATGTGATGCATCTTTTGGTGATGAAGAAAGTTATGAACAAACAGGAGCTGGTAGAAAGAGCCTTGACTCCATCCAGAGTACAGAGTTGGTCAAGGTGAGAGTGGATGGATAACTTGTTGTATGTGACATATAAGCAGATTAAATAATCTTCATTTTTTAATGTTGCTTAAAAAAGACAAAAAAGGCTGTTTCATGTTGCTGCTGATCTGTTTCAATGTTGATGTGTTCATGCGTGCACATCTGCTCACAGACTCATGTTCATGTTTGTGCTGATGTTCAATGTTTTATGTTATTAGTGCTTAGTGTATATTTAGTTGATGTTTTTCTTAGTTCATATCTTAGATGTTATTACTGTTTTTCTTATACATTTTATTGTTGGATGTAACTGGGACCCTGTGTACATAATTTCGCTCCACCACATGTACCACATGAGGTGCGAATGACAATAAAGAAACTCTGACTCTGAAAAATGTTTTGTGCATCAAAGCCACTTTAGACAATAATTAAAATACTCTTTCTTAAAATCAGGGCAGAAAACAATTAGCTCAACAAAGATTAGGCCATTCGCTTCAGACTGACATTTTTGTCACTAAAACAAGCAGCAAAATTTGCAAGTTTACTTTAAATGAAGGGTCTAATAAAAGTATTGAAAGAATACATTTTTCAGTCAGTGTTGACTGCCCTAAAGCTACCTTGATCAAGCTGCTTCAAAGAAAAATATTCCTGATGAGTTCATCAAAAAGCCACTCATAAAGAGGTCACAAGGTTTGTGTTTGCACACTGAGTCGATCATAACACCAGGAAATGATCACAGTTGGTGGAAAATCCATTGGCTGAAACTTGTTTAAACGTGTAATTTTTGGTAAAGTGAAAACTGAATGGCTGAAAATCAATCCAATCTGAAAAGATTGTCAAAAGCAAAAATCAAATAGCTGAAACTAGCTTTGACCTGTGAAACTCAGTACGCAGTGCTCGTTTTTGATGTACGATTTCAAAAACGGTTGAGATTAAAAACTGAATGCAATGTCTTATATCGTTGTTGACTAAATGATTGAAAAGAACATTTTCTTTGGAGCGTTGGTAAAGTATGACACGTTTATCTGTGAGCATCGTGTTAAAGATGATCAATTGTTTTGTTTTTTTACGCATAATGAAAAATTCATCATGTCCTTTTTTTTACTGATACCTTCATGTTTGAGTAAAGTCCAGCTCATAAAATGTTCTGATTTAAATTGAATATTTTGGCATTTAAAAAAAGACAGAATTAAGAGAAATTAACAGCAAAAAATTTTAAATTAAAGTTTAAGAAGTCACAATGAAACACCAGTAGGCAATGATTTGATGGCATAAAAGTTAATATTAATAAGTTGTAAGTTTTATAATTTAACTTTTTTATGACACGTGAACACTTGATAGTGCGGCTGCCTCTCATCAAGAAGTTTGCTGGATCGAATCTCAGCCAGGAGCCTTTCTGGGTGGAGTTTGCATGTTCTCTCCGTGCATGCGTGGGTTTTCTCCGGGTACTCCAGTTTCCTCCCACAGACTAAAAACATGCATGTTAGACCGGTCTGGTAACTCTAAATTGTCTCTAGGTGTGAGACAGAGACTGAATGGTTGTTTGTCTCGTTTGTCTCTATGTGTCCCTGTGATGGACTGGAGACCTGTCCAGGGTGTCCCCTGCCTGTTGCACAGTGACTGCTGGATATGGGCACTAGTGACCCCCCACAACTCGAAAAGGAAGAATTGGGTAAAGATAATGGTCGGATGAACGGAACATTTTTATGACTCTAACTAGAATCAAGATTAGAAGCAGTGGTTGCTTGGTGGTCGGTGTTCAAGTCCAGGTTGCATCAGGAAAAGCATCAGAAAAAAACAATTGTTAAGTTTTACATGCGAGTGCTCTTGCTGTGGTGACCCCTGCAAAATGGAAGAAGCTATAAAGAAGATTAGGCAAATTGCCAACATTATAAAACCTTTTATTGCTTATAAATCAAGGCTAAGTGTACAGGTTGCCTTTTCATGAAAAGTTATCTCAGCACCCTACAGGGTAAAGTTGGACATGTGCTGTACTGTTCAGTGAGTTGATGTTTTTCTGTACCGTCTTTGTGGTAAAAGTGGAAGTATTTGGCCTGTTCCCCTTGACTGCAGTGAGGAGATGCTGCATTTTATGCTATTTTTCAAGACGCCTCCTCAGCTCTCAGTCTCATCTCTCATCCTGCATGCTCAGCTAAAACAGCAACCCAGCAATTTATTGAAATTGTCTGAAAGCATTATGCACACAATGGAACATGTTAAAAACAATGTCTTGATGGGGCTGATGACACCCCTCGCTATGCCATAACAAGGAAGAAGCTTGATCTCTTTTACTTTAGAGTCGACAAAAGAGCACGAGGATATTTGAAAATAGGATTTCTGTCCCAATAAACCCGTGTATTATGCATCAGCTGTACAAATGATATGTATTTTACTCTTTTTACCCTTTTTATTTAATTTCTGGTAGTTGGTTTCTTTTCATGACATCCTTCTCCCAAAAAGGATAAGCGCTTTCAGATTATACGTGAAAATGACATGCAAATTGTTTCTTTTGTATTAAAGCCTGGGCGTATCTTACTCACAGGAGGAATAAGGAATAATGAAAAAAAAAGGATGTGTGCTTTTGAAAAAAATAAGGATATTTAATTTCAATTTACTCAACAGATAAGGGGATGACTGTGAAGAAGTTGAATCCAGATACGTTTTTAATTGGACTCCAAGCCCATCCTCCATTCATGTGTTCATTCACCCAAAAATATATATTTCCAAGTTTTTATTGGGATGGTGTTTTATTTGTTTTTGCTCATTTTTTTTTTTTTTTGATGAACTAAACAAAACTTTATTGTCCCCAAAGGCAATAACGTTTTACCCATGTGTCTGTGTGTGTTTGTCTGTAGTTTTAGCAGAGTATCTCATGAACCAGTGAATGGACCGAATTGAAGTTTAAGGTCATTTTCACACCTGATAGTCCGGTATAGACTCGGTTCTATTGGGGACCAATATTCATAATATTGGTTTACATTTCAGCTGGTGCAGTCTGCATTCACACTGCTCTGAGTCATTGAGCCAAACTGTTCCCCTCGTGCCTGTGGTGGCGCTGCATCAAGAACTACTGAAGAAACAACACAAAACCCCCTGAAGAAGACATTTCTTCTTCTTCTTCTTCTTCTTCTGGAAACAAAAACAAAAACGGAGTGGCGTCAAATTTGAGCAATTTTAGGATTTCTGTTTTGTCATTTTTTAACAATGGACTCAGCATGAGCGGAAGATGAGGCAGAAAACCATGGAAAATGCTGTTTTTCACACAAGGCGGCTGACGGCTTTGTATGAGGTAGGAGAAATGCATGTTCCTGCTTTTGAAGCGGTCTCCGGTCTGCTTGCATTCACACTGCATTCGAACCGCGCCAGAGTTCACTTCAACTGAACTGAGACCTAGATTTTTAGGCGGACAAGAGTTCACTTTTTTGGTCCTCAACAAAGTTTGATTGCACATTCACACCTCCCCAAACGAACCGGACTTTCTAGGCAAACGGACTAGAGTTTGATTAAAGCAGACTAAACATGGCTGGTGTGAATGCAGCATAAGAAAGTAATCATTGACTTTACATTTACAACTTATGAAGTTAAGGAGTCACCACAATTCACAACCCAACATAAAAATGACTGTAACTTAGTCAGCTTTTCAGGTATTGAGCTAAAACTAGACGTGGTAGTAGCTCAGAGTCTTTTACAACACATCACTGAGTGCTATAATATCTTGCAAAATCACACATTATTGCACAAAATGCCATTTGCATTTTTCTTTACCTAAACAGCTATAAATGCACTCCTTGTCATCACAGAGCAAGTTTTAGTTATAAATTCTGGTATGAAAGGTGGTAAGTGATATGCATTTTCTATTTTATTCAAGCTGGTTGTATTTCTTCTTTAGTAAAACTCTTTGTACTATTTGATTTGAACAGAAATGAAAACAATAAAAAATTATGATTTTTTTTAAACAAAATCTACACATATAACCCCCCCCTCTCACTCTCCACTTTCCACTTCTGGGTAATATCAGCAAATATCCTGCTGAAGAGCTAAACTTCACTGGAAAGCAAAAGCTGACATGAAACCATTAAAGTTGCATTAGTCTGAAGTTCACGGCTCAGACTGCAGTGGCATGTTAGCAGGAGTAACTACTGCAAAACACACTTTTGCTCTCATCAATATTACATGACTGCTGGAGCCCTATCAGTTGCAAATTACATTTCAGATGTTTGCAGAGTAATGCACGTGTCGGGTCGACTCACTTAGGCACGTGTTGTCGGTAAAGAGCCGCAGGAAGTTGATACATTCCTCCTCGTTGTTTCCACTGCCCTTACAGGTGCACCACGGAGAGATGGTCCAGTTGGTGAAGCTGTTGTCAACATAGTTAGGGGTCATATCTGTCCCTGCAGAAATATCCACACACAAACACAACATTCATTAGGACAGCTATAGGTCACTAATGGAGAATAATGGACTACATTTCGTGCTAGTATGTAAAACCAGCAGCGGAATTTTAGTCACAGGAAAGAATTTGCTCCGTTTGAGTTTACAGGAACCATCCTGTAATGCTTTATTTAGATGTAAAGAGGCCATTATGTTATAAATGTTTTTGCAAAGTAGTTGCTTTAGGAAGTGTTTGCCCCTGTCTGAACACATCTCTGCAGCAACAAAACATTTTACTCTTCAAATGTCTCTCCCTCTGTGCCGATGCTTTCAACGGGAGTCATAAAAGCATTAGCTGCACTTTGACAAACATTTTTACAGAAAAATCCAGGAAGCATTGTGGCATAATACCACTTCACACTGCATCATTTATGGCAGATGATGGTAAGACACTGACTGATGCTGAAATATGGACACTTCAGCAACCATTAAGAGGCGGCAATATATATTTATGAACATGTACATAAATGTTTTGTGTGTAAATCTGCATTTACAAATCTTTTTTTTTATCCCTGCAATGCCTCCTCAACGTCACCTGGCTAGAAATAGAAAATATGCGTGAACTGATTTGTGACCAGTCACATAATTTGCACAACATTTGTGATGAGCAAACAGATGGCCGTTGAGTGTTTTAATTAAATGAGCACTCTCTCAGTACTTCGACTCCTTAATTTACTTCTGGTACTGAAATGGTGTCAAGTCTGCTGCAAGAGATACCAGACCAGGTGGGGGGAAAAAAGCAGGAAGTCCAAATCCTCTGCTGGTTCTCGTCATAAAACCAGACCAAACTACAGTCGTACATTGCTTTCATTTAGACTCTGACAACCATTGCTCTTTATCAAACATTGTATCTAAATTTCTGAACAACTTCTGGATTAATTTTCTCAAGCCATCACCGAGTCACAGCCAGCCACATACTGACCGATGAGCCTAGCATAAGAAGCTGAGCAGGCGTAGGGATTGTCTTGGTTGGGACAGGTGCTTCCAGGGGGTGACGTCGTCCAGCAGTTTGCCACGTAATCAGCCAGTCTGGACCTACGAACAAAAATAAGACAAACTTAAAAAGACTCTTCAGATGCTTTCAGGTGGTTATGAACAAAAACCATTACCAGTAGCTCTTTGAGCAACCACATCTGGGCAAAATGGAGATAAGTTCTGATTGCATTGACATCTTATAACAACTTTATTTTTTACAGATTTCATAGCAGCTTGACCAAAAGCTATTAATATTTTTTAGGTTGCTTCCATTCTTGTAGTATGTGAATATTTTAGCAGAAAATATGAACATATGGAATATTATAATATTCCTATCAGGAGTGCCCCAGGCCCCATTAGAAGTGCTACAACCACAGTAATTGCTGCTCTTCTTCTGCTCTTGCTAATAACTTAGAATCTGTGTGAGTAACTTTGTAACGCATGCTTGATAGTGATTTAGCGAAATTTAAAATAGCATTTAAAGCATTTAAACCATTTACGATAACATTTGCATGAACCACTGTGAAATATTTGAGATAAGACAAAAGCAATCCACTTTGGTCTCGACCCCTGGGCTTTAGCTCATCGTACCAGTCAGAACAAATGTATTTTCCTAAAAAACCGAGGCCGCTTAAAGAGCTATCTAAGATATTAATTGTTTATAACCTTTCCACAGAAGCCCACTTCAAAAGATCTGAGCCGTCGCTTTGAGATGATGACAGACGAACAGTACGCACGGGTATATGCAGAATATCAAAGGACTGGTTCTAATTCTTGGCACCTTTACTCCGTAAAGAGCAGCTGTCAGCTGTGACCAGCATCAAACTGGAAAAGTATCTGTAACATCTGTCTCCAGGCTGCCTCAACAAGTGCTCTGAATAGCAATCAGTTCTCGCTTATGCTTCTCTACCAACAAGCTACCAACTCTTGTAATGGCGTGCCACATCATCCTGGCGGTAATGCATGATAAGAGCTGCCTTTTTCATACTTATCCTGAACATCTCAACAGTTTCCCATCACCTCCACCAGAGAGCGGTGGGGGGAAAAATGTGTGTTTTGCCTAATTGTGTTTGCGACAGGAGTTTTAGGTCTGTGTGGGCCCCTGGGGTGGCATTACTAATCCACTTAACTAGATGTACCGGTAAGAAATAAATAAATAATTAAATGTGTGCGACGTTACCCTGTCTGTGTTACTCACATCACCGCTGCGCACAAAGTGAATCACAGTCAGTGCACATTTCTAGCTCTCTCTTCCTTCTCTGTGTCATGAGTCATTCACCCTGACCTGGTCCGACATCGATGTTCAGACTGAAGTTCAAAGAAACTCTAAAATCCCTTCGGCTATTGTGTTGTTCGTGCATAAGGACGCAGAAACCTTCATGCAGCAAACTGACAGCAAGTGTTAAATACTAAGATAACACCTGATAAAAACAAGATTGGGTTAGTTAAGATAGCTGTTTTTTTTTTTTTTTGCATAACACCTGATGTTTTTTAGAACATAAGTGTAATTTTATTAATACTGGTGCATCAACTTGATATTATTTCTGACACATTTTAATTAGAAAACTGGGAGTTTTAATATGAATATTAATGCAGCATGTGTTTCACATGTATTTGGTCAAAAGGACTGACTGATAGGATTATCTTATATTTCCTGACAATATGTCTTATCTTGTTTACACAAAAAAATATGCTTATCTGTTGCTGGTCTGTTTTTAATCTGTCGTAAAGAAAACTTCACAAAATATTATTGAAATTTATACATAATTGTAAAATATATAATAGAAGGTTATTCAATGAATTTGTGCCTGTCTATGTTTTAACTAGAACTCTGCTGTTAGTGCATTGCTATGAACTCCGAGCATAAAATATTTGTCTTTTCAGTACCACTTTATAATAAGGCTCCTCTTGTAAATGTTTAATAAATAGTTTATAAATACATTATTAATTCCTCTATAAACACTTTATAAATCATTAATAACTGATTATAATGCTTTAATTAAGGGTGACAGAGACAAAACTGACCAGTTTCTTGCCAAATATTGAGCCAAATCTGTTCACCTATATATTTCATCTAGAGTTGTTATATTAAACATTTCAGACTAAGTTACTACCTTGTAAACACAATAAGCATTTGTAAATCTATTTTTTTAGGATATAATATTGTACTTTATCACTGCATTATAAATATCTACTACTAATACTTAAAATGCAGTGATAAAATACAATATTGTACCCTGTGTATTTACAAATGTTTATTGTGCTTACGAGGTAGTACCTTAGTCTGAAATGTTTAATATAACAACTCTAGATGAAATATATATAGGTGAACAGATTTGGCTCACTATTTGGCAAGAAAATGGTCAGTTTTGTCTCTCTGTCACCCTTAATTAATGCATAATAATCACTTATTAATGATTTATAAAGTATTTATATAGGAATTAATAATGTATCTATAAACTATTATCCATTTATAAGGGGAGCCTTATTATAAAGTGGTACCATATTTTCTTTGCAGATTGATTCTGTACAAATATCTGGAAAACTTACAGTGAAATATCAGAAAACGAGTGAAATATTTTATTTATAGCAATAAAGATATTCAACACTGTATATAAAAGCCAAGCGCATATGTATATCTGCCAAACTTATTTTAAAGCCTGACACTAAGAAGTACCTGTTTTAGTAATATTTAGATTTTGTTCTGAGTAGTTACTGTAACTTCCTATTTATTTATCCCTCAAACTTCTAGTGTTTTGCAAATGTGATTCTGTGTCGATTTATGCAAGAAATTTCACCAGATCTACTGATAAATTGTTGACATACACAACATATTTAAAAAGCTTACTTAAAAACAAGTAAGTGATGATGCTGCAAACAGCGTATCACAATGGCCTTAAAATATAGAGAACGTTAATGTCACAGGAATTCACACCCCCTTGTCTTTAAATATGCATTAGATCGTGGTGGCACCGCTGAATCACTTATTCATCTTTTTTTTTACCTTTTTCACGGGTTTTTGAGGTAAATGAATTGGTTGAGATGCATTGTAATGATACTGAACCGTTTGCTGCATACTTATCAGCCAACAAATAATTGACTTCTTCTGCAAGACCGACATTGTTGTTCAGGAAACTTCTGCAAAAGAAAATACCCTCCCCAATGCGCTGCCTTAGGTCTGCAGATATGAACACAAAGGGTTTGCTGAGAGTGATGCAATGTGAGTCTGTCCATCTGTCTGTCTCACTGATGATTTCTTCATTTTATGTCTTCCACTGCAGCTGAAATGCAGCCAGTGTGTTAGATGGACTTGGACCTCCAGCTGTGAACCACACTCAGATCCACTTCATTACTTCAGCTCCATCCACTCTCCTCACAGATCACCCACATAGCCTCTTGACATGACATGCTGCTCACATCCGACGTACAGCGTTGCTTGAGGAATCTGGACATACATTTGCTCTAAGTCTACCACTGCTGCAGACACAAGTATGTGCAAACGCAGTAAAGATACACTGAAAAAAAAAAAAAACGTAATGAAGTCTGAAATAGTACAAGTGTCCGTCTTTACATATGCTCTCTTCATTTCTCACCCATCTGCACTCGGAGTAAAAAAAAAAAAAAAAAGAACCCACAATGATGCAACAGACGATAGCAAAAATATACAAAACAAGATGGAAAGAAAAGCATTTTGTTTCACCCAAACAAAGCAATCTTTCAAAGCTTCTTTTCCATTTTTCAATTTATTATGGGCAAAGAAAAGGATCTTTTACTTTTGTGCTAACCCTGAATGTGAATGTCAGATTTCTGTTGGAACAGAATAGACCTGAGAGGATTAAAGAAACCCAACACGCACAAGTTTCTTTTTAGCGGCGGAGCTTTTTCCGACAATGACGGCTTAAAAACAGTAATTTAAAGTTTAGAGAGGTGTCCTGAGTGTTCAGACAATGGCGTTCCAGCACCGGGATTCGGTGCATTTCACGGCTTCCGTGGACTTTCCATTATATCGCGGCAAAGCGCCTCTCGCTGCTGAAATTACAGGCTGTCTGGCTCAACGGAGTTTTATGGTCATTTCAGCCACTCAGCCTCCGGGGAAGTGGCAGAGGAGCCCCCACAGAGGTAGACTTCTTTCAAGCAACCTGACATTTTAAACACAGTCATCCGGGTGAGTGCTGAGTGCCTGTCCATCCTGCTTGGCAGTAATAGAAAACTAATGGCTTTTTATATGGATTCTTATTCCTATCACTTGATGCCCGTGACAAACAATGTGACTTAAATCAGATGAGTGTCAGTCCTAGAAACCATTTCCTTGAGACGAAAGAGAAGCAGGAGAGGGGAAAAAAAAACTGTTATCAGACTTCATTTAAAAACAGTTTATTGAGAGTCAGATCTCGTTTGGAGACTTCCCATCAGAGCTCTTTTCTACAAATATGAGCTGTTCTGCAGATGGTAATATTGGTTAAATGTGACGCTGCGGATGCTTACTCTTATCGCTTCTCTCCGTCTTCAGCCTAAAGAGGCTTTAGAATCCGTATCTCTCACTCATCTTCAGCAGGCGTAGCAATAAACATCAAACAATGGCTGCCGACATAATAGCAGTTAACATGAAGCAAATGAGAAAAACAAAACAGCTTCCCCTCTGCGCTGATCCCCTCCCTCTTCCCCACTTCCTTTTCTTTTCTAATCTCTTGCGTTCCTTGGACCTTATCTCCGCTTGCCTCCTCTCGGTTATCCTTTCTTTCGTCAGTTCGGCTCCAGCCGCTCATGTGCAAAGTCGTGGCCCGAGTATTTGACCCTGGTTCAGTCAACGTGACCCAGCAGCCCTCGTGTCCTTTTGTCACTTGATGTCAAACGCTGAAGCAATAAATGATTTGGAAAAAGAACGGCGAAAAGCTTTACTCTGAAATGAAGTTTTTTTTTTTTCTTTTTTCTGCAGAATGGCTCAATTTGTCACAAAATAAAAAATCCACCAGTCCTAACTGAGTGGAGTGTTATGAATATATTTTGACAAACAGTATTGAGTATCTTTTGCTCATGTTTTCATCACCTGAATGTCTGCT